GTTACTTGTAGTTGAAAATGCATGATAAATTATTTAAAAAAAAAAAAGAGAGAAAATATTGAATTTTTCATTGCACAAATTCATTATGATAATATTTGCCAACAAGTACTTCACCAGTGTGCAATTATCTCATGGTATTAATGAGGCATGGGGATTATTTTATGGTATGGTTAATTTCAAAGATAAATTGAAATACTGGTAAATCTTATTTTTGATGTTTATAAATTAGGTTTTCACTTCTGGTACACCGAAACTCCATATTTTACTTTAACATGAACCAACTTGTATGTGATTATTAAACTTGTAAGTTGTGATTGTAGCAAAATGTTTACTTCTCTGTTTTGTTTCCACATATTCTTATAACTGGTCAATCAATTGCATTCTGTTGTTTACAGCAAGAGCAAATAACTGGCCTCCACTCCCAGAAAAGTTCTGTGTAGGACCTTGCTTTTATCAGGATATATCAGTTGATATTCCATTGGAGTTTCAGAAGCTTGTCAAAAGCATTTACTATGTATGGATGTGTAAGTATCTTTATACATGAATTTAAGTTTTTTTTCCTGTCCTTAGCACTAGAGCTGGACCACTGACTCAATTAACCCTTCAACTGCAGTTATCATCATATGATCTAAGTGTAAGTGACTGAGGTCGACATCGTATGATGCAAGCATTTTGTGAGCAATGTTTTAAATGGCCTGCTGCAAAAATTTGCAAATCTTTGCACATGGGGTGATAGGCAGCTTAACACAAGTTGCAAACAAAGGATTTAATGATATAATCAATTAATGTCAATTATTAATAAAATAAAGTATTAAATCAAATTGATTACTATCAGAAAAGTAATCAACCAATAGAAATTACTCTTTTCAATTATTCAAACTATATAGGTAATTGAAATATTACCATTATGATTTCTCATTATTATTCTCAAGTAATTCAAGGTTGTTCTGATTAATTGATTAGTATCATGACTCATTAAAATAGTCAAATAATGGAAATTAGTTGTTTTGATTATTCCAACTGACCAAGTCATGTAAGAAAAATCAATTGAATTTAATTGATTAATGAACCCAATGATTAATTAATTATCAAAGACCACTAAACACAAAGATCTACTTAGCACTGCCACTATATTAGCACTAAGGTAAAAAAAAAAAGGTCTTAGTCATGTGGCTAATATCTTTTAATTTCAATTAGCCACAAAAGATAACCCAATAGCCCAATCATCAATAGCTATTAACACTTTTGCTATGGGAATCTTTTTCTGCACATGCCATAGAGTATTAGTAAGTTATATTCAAAATTTAATTAAACTACTTTCTTATCATGGTGTACAAATAAATTTGGCATAAAAATGGAGCTAATAATCCAAATTTTAGTAGTATGTGTTTTAAGTTCTTAATTTTATATGGCAATATTTAAAAAAAATCCTGAATTTCCTCTAGTATGAGAAGTGTGACAGTTTCACTCTAGGTATCCCCGTTTTTCTAACTTATTTACCACCCCTCCAAGAAATATGAAATTTAACATAAATTGTTCATTATAATGATGTCATCATTCAGGCAAAGCATAATTTTTATAGCCTTCAACCTTATTTGGTTACAGAACTATCAAATAAAAAATCAGACTCTTCTTACCACACCTACCTGCCACATCCTCTCTTTCAGAAATTGTCAATAGTTCTCTTTGATGTTTAATACCAATATTATTTATGACCAATAGAAAGCCAAGGTTTTAATCTAACAAATGATGTATTATATTATCTTGTTTTTTGTACAGAGAATTTTCAATCATGCTTTCATTTCAAACACATCAACAAGCATAGCTGAATTTTTAATGGCATTTCTCACATAGTTAGAAAGCCAGAAAAATTGTTAGTTATGGGACATTGTTTACTTTTTGCATGTGATTATTCTGTATTCTTTGGTGCACTATTTAATTAAATATAAAGTATTTAATGCAGTAGTACCATTAGTATTAAAAAAGTAAGGTTAAGTGTCATCAACAGTCAAAGGCATAAAAAAGAAGACCCCAGGTAAGTACTTTATTTCTTGTTTTTCAGTTCTATTCTTTTTCTTATTAGATAAGGTAAAATAAATAATAATAGTAATTATTTTTCACAAGACATACTTTCAAGTAGTTTGTTCGTTATGTAATTCAATACTGTAACATGAGCTGCACATTTGCCACATGATTTACAACTTGTATGATGTGAATACTAGATAGACATGGTTCATAGGGCAATAAATCAATAACATTTAAGTATAAATAGATGTATACTGTTATAAGTTTAAAACTACTTAGTATAAACAAATGTAGTTTCATGTTACAATTTGAAGTCATTCTAGAAAGAAAAAAGGGTAATTTAGATTTATTTAGATTATTATTTTTTTAGTAGTTACAAGGTCAGTCAAATTGACCACCCTTGTAAAGAGTTAGGGAAGAGAAAATAACAGATAAAATATAAAGTTTTACTGAAAACAAATGTTTGAAATGTATTTAGGAGGTTTTAGAGATTATGCAAATGAAATTTTAAATTTTTGAGACAAAGAAAAATATTTTTAAGCTTAACATAAAAATCACTTTGCATTCAGACTAGCCAAGAAAGACTATATATTCATGTACAAATCTTTAGTAAATATACTTTGTTAAAATATCTATTTTTTGTTGCTGTTGTTTTGTGTGTGTATGTGTGCACAAAAGACTTGTAATGTTTACTGAAAGCCTGCCAAAGTTTGTGAAGATACACTTACTATATTGAAAGTTATAGTATGGAAACTACAAGAAGTACAAAAGGGTTATAAGGTTGGTCAGTTCAACCTACCCTGTAGTGGGAAAGTTAAGATAGTACCTGTTTATGATAGAGACTCAAAAGTACCAAGCCAAATAATACATGATTGGGCATGTGTAGTGGTACTGGAATCGTGTTGTGAGTGGCATAAAGATAGCCACTATGTACATTTATTAGTCGCATATGATAGTAGCTGAATTGTATACAATGTCCTGATCTGAAAGTGTTGTAAGCTTTGTAGAATTTTCATCTTCCACTTTTACAAATCTGCAGTCTAGTCACCATCATCATAATTTTCTAAACAAGTGACTATTTATTCAGTGTTTTAAGGTCAGTGAGAAGCAGCACCGTTCTGCAAGTTAAAGAAATATCTAAAAGTGGGTTGTATTTTTCATTATTAGAAATAATAGAATATTGATTTTTATCTGTACAGAAGCTCAACTAGTTAATCCTTGTGCAAAAGTGAGCAGTTAAGCTACTTATCACTATGATCACCCAAGTTATTCAGCTGTGTCGAAATACCTAGACAGTGACATGCCAATAATCAAGAAAACAACAAAAATATACTTAATACACTTTTAAAGCAGGGACGTTTGTTTATGGTAGATTACTTTACATTACGTGGAAGAATATAAACAACTTTATAGAAACAAAAGAACTATTTGTTGCCTGCTAGTTTAGAATGTAGATGTTGTGCCATATAAAACTATTTAAATAAACTTAAACATACAGAAGTATGTTTATGATTTACCTAATGTTTTCATATTCTACAGTTGAGGTTTCTCCGTTTAACTTTAGAACAGTTGTGTAAAATATGCGGCCTCACTTCACATTCTATACCTTTGTACATTTTTTTGCCCAAAATATTTTGCATGTAAGGGTCTGTTATAGTGAATGAATGAATTTACATTTTTCACAACTAGCTGTTCATGTTCATAATTTAAACTGTTTTGTTTTCAACATTTGAACTTCGTTATTAGCAATTAAGGCAATTAGCACATATTTAATTTTTATGAACATTTGACCTTTCGGAAATCCAGGTTTTTGGTCATTAATGTTGTCAAAGCTAAGATTCATATAGAAAATGGGGATAAATAAATAATCCTGTTTAGCAGGCATGGTTTGATGGTGTTGTCATGATAATAAAGAGTATTACAAGTCAATTATCCATATAGTATTGGACCAACAGAGCAGTGAAATATATGGAGTTCGATTCTGCCTACCATCAGCTCGATGAAAGTATGCACCATTCTTTATCAACATTTGTTTGTTGCATACTCTACTTAAACATACATGCATGTTTTCACAAACCTTATATATGTACCTCCCTCCCAACTCCTTTAAGAAGCACCAATGTATTACAGTTTTATTTGTGAGAACTGAAAGCCACAAACCCTTTGTTTCATTAATCATTTGCTAAATGGGTGATTGTAGTAAAATTGTTAGCAGTTAATAATGAGTTATCTCAAATTCAAACAATTCTTTATTGTGATCTCTTGAACCATTAGGTTAGTGTTGCATTTTGTATTTCCAGTTATGGATAGTACATTTGTTCCCTGTAACATTTCCTCATTACACGCAGGAGTTGGGTTTTGTTACAATATTCCTACATGATTAGTGTAAAATGAGTTGTTCACCAGCACCACCACTAAGGCCTCCTATAGGTGTTTTAAGTGTTTTTCACATGTTTAGTATTATATTAACACATTGTAACTTGATATTTTACCTTTCATCATATACATCACATTAATACTTATTTTATTACTTATAATTCAATATTTTCACTTGTTCAAGAACTGTGTTTTGCATATCATGTAATTGTTAGATTGTTGTTAATTCAGAAGGATTTCTTGTTTATCAACTGATTTTTATCTAATTCTATTTACCAGTATCTTATAGAAGTAGGTAAAACAAATATTTAGCTGAGATGGAGAGATGATTATTTATACCCTAAGATACAATCACATTTCATTAAAGATTTGTTTTATAAATCATATTTGTTTTGTTTTTAATAACAACTGAGCATGTTGATGCAAGATATATAGTTATATTGAAAACTCATGTTTTGCATACAAAACTTTCTTTTTAGATTGCCATATTTTGTATTTAAATGCACAAACTTTATAAAATATAAATGCAGTGCTTTGTATTTAAAAATAATTAAAACAATTAACCCTATCGCTACAGGTCATGGGTCAAAGACCATTTCATCATGTTTGTTGACTTGCATTCAAAACTTTATTGAACTACTATTTTATGAATTTATGTCAATAAGTTTGGTATCAAACTATAGATTATAATTCACCTTAGTATTATACATTATTCAATTTCTTAATTTAAAAGTAAATATTAAAAACACTTAAACATTGATTTTTGTGTGTTACGTGGTATGTTAAATGCAGTGATGGTTCAGATTAGATGTTTGTGATGTCAAAATACCAAGTCTGTAGTTTCAAACAAATTAAGAACTCAAATTACCAATATTAACAAGCTAAAATATAAAATAAGAACCTCCTATCTTTTCTATTTGCTGATATATCAATCGTGTACTGAATCAAATGCATTTTTGAAATGGTCCCTTATATACACTACTTGTGTATATGACATGAATAATCAATCAGAAGCTTAGAATGTCCCCTTAGTGGCCATCAAGTTTTTTGGAAACAAGATTTAAAGGAGTTAGGTTGTGTCTTTAGTCTGCTCAAAATGTCATATTTTTCTAGACCGAAATACAGCTTGGTTACTAAGCTTGATAAATTATAGTGGAATCTTATGGTATCGATATAGTAATTTATGATTTTTTGGTTATTCAATTGTATATATAAAATAAAATAAAAAATTATTTTGTTTCATATCCTCCACGTACAAAATTTTAAAAGGCTTAGCAACCTA